AGGCTGATGCATAACTCTGCTAACATAATTTATGTTTTAATCGTCATAAAAAAGGGTCAGAGTGCAGAGAAGGAGTACGATTAAAAATACAAAGATTGTGAGAAGCTCATTGACAGGTATATTAAGTGTACTAAATAGTAAAAACAGGAATCAGAAAAATTAAAAATAAAGATTTATCAGAGAGTGAAGTATCATGAAATATAACTATTATAAGATATACTAGTGTAAGAAGAAGCTATTTGAAAGTTTTAAGGAATCGTAATCAGTCAAATGCATAGTTAATATGCAAAGCCTTAAACTGGCTACTGTTTTTCCCCGTTACAATGGAACATACAAGGCTAACTATGCACATTATAGCGTAGGACTAAACATGAAGATTCTCATGAATGTGCCTGGGTCTATGGAATGGGTGTTAGTATTTTTGATGTCATTTATTACATTTACCATGCAAGCAGTAGCTAATAAATAAACTAAATCAATTTTGTTCGGCTACGCTTGTTTTAAGACGTAAAATTGAATGGTTCTACCTCACAAATCATACCGTTTGGTTGGGAATCTTATCAAGCGCGCGTCTCAGTCAATTGCAGAGTCATGTTTGAATTATTTGTTAGTTGTCTTCAAGCTAACTTCAAGACATTTTTAGTCATCTTTAAGTCATCCTAAGGACAAACTTACACGAGACTAAGGTCATCATTAGGTTGTCTTTCAGTCATTTTGTGTAATACTCACTGCCAATAAGACATCTTCTCGATCAACATACCAGCATACCAACTCTCCGATGATACAGTCAGTAACGTACTGGACTGTCTACCTGGAGACTGAGGTTCAAGCCCTATTGAGAGCTAGTGTGAATAAATATTGATTGAATAGACTTAAATATTTTAACAACGTTTGCTTATTTAAGCACAAATGGAATAAAATTTAAAATAAATTGTAAAACCATTTGATGCTTATTTAAACATGCAAATACCTACGAAGTTTATCTGTATCAGTAAATTTTCTTTTTTACTACTTGTCACACATTCGGCCACGTACCTGGCTATTACCCTGGAGCCCTAGGTTCAAATCCAATTAGAGTTTGAAAATTTTTTTTTTGTACTTTTTTCTTACATTCATAACAATTGACTGAAAAATTGTTTGGACTTCTAAAAAAGTATTCTTAATTTATGAGTGCTGTGTTCAGGTCAAAATAAACTTTCCTATACTAGAGTGGTCTCACAAAAGAAAAGGGGTGGGGTGATCCAGTACCACTGTAGGGGAAGGCAGCCTCAGATCCATAGGTGAGCTATGGATTTATGGATTAGTGGGGTTAAGAATTTGGGATAACAGAGAAAAAGAAAGTGGAAGATGAAGAGCCCAGTAAGTTGCTTGACAGTGCTGACTGTAAACGTGTCTATCTACCGCTTTGAGCACTGATTGAGCCTATTAGTTCTACAACTATTGCTGTTTGTTGAAAAGTTGTAAGATAAAGAAGGGACAAAGACATAAAAAATAAAGGTTTAAAGTATAAGAAGCAGAACTCTACATGCCTAAGCAAAAAAAAAAAGAAAATAAACACAGCGTGATTACAAACTAGTGGCATAGAGTACTGTACAAGACAGATTTCACACTACTCTAAGGGTATTGCCTACAGAATGTGAAGTTGTTTTAGTTGCAAAAATATAAAAAATTTTAACTTGATGTGACACATTTTACATTATTAACTTAAAAACTATTTGTAAATAAAAATACAGAGATGTACTTGTAACGTAGGTACTTTTATAAAACTTTAACTGCAAATACAAAAATGTGAGTGATTACAGAAACTAGAAAAATGTTTGAGCTGAGCTACACAGGCAAGACTAATACTTTATTTTGGAAACAGATCTCTGGTTAACTCTTTTATCATCGTAGGTACACAACAAAAAAAGAACTATACTCAGTAAAGCAGTTAAGTTCAAACTGCATTTTTTTTTAATTTTAAGTTTAAAATTATACTGCAAAATTGTTTGCCCTTTTGTTTTTATTATTTTACATAACAATTTTTATAAAAATGAACCTGCAATCTCAGTACTTTTGTCAAGAGTCATATTTCAACCTTGCATATTACCATATTTATCGGAATATTTTTTGAGTTTTGTTAGACTGAGGGTCAGCCAGTGCTAGCCAACTTAAATGACCAGTATGTTTGTTGCTAGTTAGGCATGGTGGCAGATAGAAAGTCAATTTGAAAAGTATTAGAGCCTTTATTTTTAAGTGGGAACTTGGATTCTCTTTCAATTACAAGACAAATAAGACTTTTTTCTGTTGATTCAGGAGACTTGACAGCCAATTTAAATATAATCTGCACCATTATATCGAGTTATATTTCGTTTAAGTCTAGTTAATTTTCTCTGAGGTAGTGACGAGTTTTCACTGTTTATATTATTGACCTTATTATTATTCGCATAGTTTTTGCCTTCTCACGAATGTCGTATATAATCATAATGTCTTGTGTGCTTTTTATCTCCACCCTCTCTAAATTTGATCATAGAACTGTTGGAAAAATTCTTACGATTTAAGCTTCTGACATTTTAGGATTATGTTTTTAAAAATTATTTGCAATAACCACACCGCCTTCGTAAAAATGTTTTATTTTGTTACCACTAAAATTCTTTACTTTTTTATACTGTTTGGATTTAAGATAAGGTCTTGTACTTGTAAAGAGTCTTAAGTTCTCTCCTAAATCACAGATAGGCCCGGCGTTTTATTTATTGTAAATGTGTAATTGTTCTATGATAAAACAAAAATACATTCATACTTTTTTGACATCCACTCCTATACTGGTAATAATTGCTTTGATTTTTCACTGACTTATCCTTACAAAATTTTTTGCTGCCCCGTTTGTTGCTGAGTGTTTTGGTGCAGAAAAATTTTGTTTTATCCCGAGTCTATTAAAGAAGTTCTTACACTCCTTACTCGTGAATTGTGTTGTTTATAATCCATATAATAGTCTATGAATTGTAAAAACTTTAATCAATTTTTGTACAGTGATTTCTGTTGTAAAATTTTTCATAATCAAAGATTTAAGACAATTTGAATAAGCATCTTATAATAAAAAGTATACCTCTTATTATTTGTGTATTTCAAAAATGACCCTGTGAAATCAGAATGTATTCTTTGCCAAGGTTGGCTAGGCCATGACCACAGAGTAAATTCCATTCTTATTGGATTGTCTTTAGTTTTAAAGTGAGCTTTACAAAATTTACATTTTTCTTCTCCCTGTTTAGCTATATTAGGCCAATTTTATCTCAACATAAGACACACGGTTGTAATTCGTTTGGCCATTCTTATATACATCGTTTTGGCCACTTTTTAATTATTATTTTTTTTACGATAGATAGTGTTTTATCTTTTACTATCTGAGGCGCAACCGTCTCGTAATTTAAACAAGCATAATTATTTGTGTAAACATGATGTTAATATGTGAATCTGCCTTTAGTTTCTAAAATTTCAATCTTATCAACATAGTCAATGGGTAATCTAGATGAAGTATCAGCAACGATATTATCTTTTGTACTAAGAAATTCTATGTCACAATCGAACTCTGATAAAAAATGACTCTAATTTTGTAGTCTAATGGTAATCATTTTTGGTATACTTTTTTCTGGAGCAAAAATTGTGGACAATATTTTATTATCAGTTTTTAATATGAACTTTTTTTTCAAACAAAGCAATATAAAACTTATTTATGATAAATATTATCACTGTCGCTTCTTTATTAATTTGTAAAAGTTCTTTCGTACTTGTATTAAGCATGTCAATGCAAAAGCTACAGACCCTTCCCTGTTTTCGTACGGGTGGCTTATCCTAGCCCTTAACTTGTGAGGAGAAGCATTACAAGTATAGTTTAATGGCAAAGAGTAATTGTAATTTTCATTTACATTTTTAATTATATTTTTACCATGTTCAATACTTCCTCACGTTCTTCATTCCATTCAAACTTTGTAGCATTGTTGCAATCATATCAAGGGGCTAGAGCTTTTGCATGATTTTTCAATAGCTTCCTACAGTAATTGACTTTTCCAAGTTATAATTGTAACTCACCATAGTTTTCTGAAGTCTTTATAGCTTTATATTTCTGGTCATCTATTTGAATAGTATAACCTTATAGTTTATAACCTAAATAACAAACTTTATCTTTGAAAAATTGCACTTTGACATTCTTTTTTTTTAAACCACATGGTTCTAAACACGTTAATACCAAATTTTATTTTCTTCAAAGCTCCTCATCAGTAACTTTTGTTATAATTACATTATCCGCTACGCTCGGTGTACCCTTTATACTTTTCAAACAATTTTCTAGATTTTTTTAAAAGCAACCAGGCTCAAATTTATTCATATTTAAATAATCTTTCATAAGTGGTTATTTTCAGTAACTTCTACTAACTTTTTTCTACTGGTACTTATAAAAAGGCAGCTTTTAAATTAATCATCAAATAATGTTTTTTATAATTAATTT